CATCACCACCCACTATGCCCCAACCGGCCCTCTTGGAGCCAGCCCGGACTGCCCCTCTTGGAGCCACCCCCAACTCAAGATAGCCTGCCAGTCCCGACGACATCAGCGGCTGCATGGACCCTACTCTCCTCAACTTCCCCCTATGCACAGTCGGCCAAGGCCCGGGGACTGCTGGCCAGAACCCTCGAGCTTTGCAAGCCCTCATGCCATACAACGCCCCAGGTCTAAAGGAACAGCCCACCGCTGCCCCAGTAGACGCCCTGGCTTCCGCTCCTCAGTTACCAGCACCCACCAGGCATTGCTCTCCTTCACATGTTAAGCCACCAGCATGACTTTATTACAGGGGCCCCGCCATGAACTTTTGTTGTTCAACTTGTTACCATGTTTTCTGCTGATCTGTTTCACTTTCTTTTGCTATTACATGTACTGGCTCTCCAGTCACTCAAGGCTTAGCAAAATTAAATGGACTCAATTGTATTGTGTACTTCCCTCCAAAGACTTGGGGGGCATACAGAACTGTGATTTATTTTGATTCTACCGAGATAATTATTTTTGTTAACCATTATTTTAATTATTCATATTAACCATCAGATGTTGTCGTCATTGCTGGAAGTGGAGTATTAGAGAAACGCCCAGTACACTGAAGCAAAGAGTTTCATGCTAGTGTACAGATCAGAAGACAACTTGCTCACAAGACAAAGGCATACAACAGAAAGGGCCAGCAAGTAACATGAAGCACTTGCAAGATAAAGGGCTCGGAAGACGAACGGCTCACAAAATGAAGGGCTTGAAGACGGAAGGGCTTACAAGATGAAGGGCTCGCAAACCAAATGGTTCAGAGTAGGAAAGTCTGGCAAGATAAAGGGCTTTCAAGACAATGGGTTTGGAAGAAGTAGGGCTCACAAGATGATGTCTCACAACACAAAGGGCATGCACTACAAAGGGCACGCAAGATAAAGGGTTCGCATGACCAAGGGCTCACATAAAGGCCATGCAAGCCAAAGGGTTTAAAATATTAAGGTCTGGCAAGATAAAGGGCTCTCAAGTCAAAGACTTTTGGAGATGAAGGGCTCTCAAATTGATGACTCGCACGCGTGAGAAAGGGCATGTAAATACAAAGGGCACGCAAGACAAAGGTCTTGCAATACATAGGGCTTTGAAGATAAAAAGCTTGGAAGAGACAAGGCTTGCAAGAGAAGAGCTTGTTAGACTTAGATGAAGGGTTCGGAAGAGGGGGTTGTCACAAGAAGAAGTGCTAACAGGATCAAGGGCTCGCAAGATGAAGGTCTAAGAAGATGCAGGTTTTGCAAGAAGGGCTCGCAAAAGGAACTACCTACAAGATGAAAGGCTAGGAAGATGGAGGGCTTGGAAGACAAAGGTCGAAGAAGATGAAGGACTTGCTGGATGAAGGGCTAAGAAGATGAAGGTCTCAGAAGGTGAAGGGTTTAAGGACTTGCTTGGAAGATAAAGGACTTCAAGAGAAGGGTTCTCAAGAGGATCTGTTTGCAAGAAGATGTGCAAGGAAGATGGAGCCCCTCAAGATGAAGGGCTCACCCGCAAAAGGGATTGCAAGAGGATCTGCTTGGGCTAGCAAGACAGCAGGTATGGAAGGTGAAATTTTTCAACTTTTGAAAAGGGCCAGCAAGACAAATTCCAACATGAAGAAGGCGGGCGTGTAAAATGCAGATAGTTCTTGAAGATGAAGGGCTCGCAAGAGAGAGTTTTTTCAAAAGAAGGCTCACGAGATGAAGGTCTTGCAACAGAAAGGGTTTGGAATAGAGGATCTTGCAAGAAACAGGGCTGACAAGATAAAAGGCATGTTAAATGATGGTCTCAAAATATGGTGGGCTTGCAAGATGAAGTACTCACAATATAAATGTCTCAGAAGAAAAAGGGCTAACATGATAAAAGGCGTGAAAGGTGAAGGACTGGCAAAGTGAAGGCCATGCAAGGTGAAAGGCTCACAACAAAGGCCTTGGAAGATGAAGAGTATGCAACACGAAGGGTTTGGAAGACAAAGGGTCTTCAAGATAAAGGTTTGCAAAAGGAAGTTCTATATCTAGATGAAGGGCTTGCAAGACAAAGCGCTAGGAAAAAGAAGGGTTGGCAAGATGTATTGCTCACGAAGTAAAGGTCTCGCAACATGATGCTCTTACACAATGAATTTTTTTGGAAGATGAAGGACTTGCAAGACTGAGGTTCACTTAAGGTGAGGGTCTCACATGAAAAAGGAAGATGAAGCCCATTGAACCTGAAGGGCTGGTAAGACAAAAGCCTGTAAGAAGAAGAGTTCACACGACAAAGGGCTAGCAAGATAAAGGGCTCGCTAGATAGAGGGCTCTCAAGATGAAGGGTTGTCGAGGCCATGTACGACAAAGGGCTTGCAAGATGAAGGGCTCTGAAGATGAAGGGCTTGGAATATAAAAACTAGCAAGATGAAGTGCCCACAATCTGAAATGCTCGCATGATAAAGGATTTGCAAGATGCAAATTTTGTCAAGTAAAGGGCTTAAAGGATGAAGGGTGTAAAAGATGCAGGGTTCGCAAGACGAAGGGCTTACAAGAAGAAGGGCATGTAAAATGAAGTGATTGCAAGACAAAGGAATTGCAAGATGAAGGGCACGTATTAAAAGGAATGGCTCTCCATTCAAAAGACTAAGGGGACTGATGGGCTCTTAAGACGCATGAAGATGAAGTGCAAGCAGTAAGCTAGAACTGAAACAGAGGGTGGCGGGCTCACAAGAAAGAGGACTTCCAAGGTGAGGGTCATGTAAGGTGAAGGGCTCATTGGACAAAGGTCTCAAAAGAGGAGGAGCATGCAGCATAAAGGGAAGGAAGACCATTGGCTCAGAGGACGGAGGGCTTGCAAGATTGAGGGCTAGCAAGATGTCGTGTTTGGAGGGGGAATGGCTTGTAACTTGAAGGGCTTGCAAAACAAAGGCCTATCAAGATGAAGGGCTCGCATGATGAAATGCTTGGAAGATGAAGGACTTGCAAGACGACGGCCATGTAAGGTGAAGGGCTCACACAACAAAGGCCCTCTTAAGATGAAGGGCATGGAACACGAAGGGATTTTAAAACAAAGGGCCTGCACACAGCCGTTTCAATTGCATCATGCATGTATTATTAAAGTATACAGTGTGCGTGTGTTTGGAATGTTTGGAATTTCTAACTTGTGTCTTCGATGACATCATAGCACAACCTGGTGCTTTTCGCAAGTGGGATCCCTTGTCTTTGTCACGACAGTGAAGCTAAAATTTGAACATAATATTCATCAGATAAATAGTTTCCTATCGTGTAATGAATATGAATTTGTGCAAATATTTTGAGAAATGCTCATTAAAAGTGCCTTTTTTATAATGTATTTTTTGTGAATTTTGTGTTGTGAAGTTCATGTCTTATCCTCGTGCATCTGCGCGAAAACGAATAGACATTTTCTGCTTCAACAGCCAAGTGCTGGTAGTTTGAATAACACTGATAAATGAAAACGGCAGCGTAATACCTTTTACAATTAATGATTTTCGTCATTTTTCCAGGACAGGCAATGGACAAATATACAAACAAGAACAAAACTGAAAAAATTTAAGCAGCAGTCGTTCAAATTACGAAGTTGTCGTTGGTGCTTTGGTTTTAGCATAGTGTTTCGAGGAACATGTGAGAACCAGAATATCAAGGTGTGCAGTACAAAATTGTATGTTTATTTACAAGTCAAACTCGACACTTCGAAGCTGGATATACATGCACATACTTTATTATCCTTTTATTAAAGAAACAAGTTTTAAGTTTCATCAGATTTCCCCAGGGAAAGTTTGTAGAATTTGCACAAACCGAATTCATCAAGGAGTAAAAAAACATGTAGTCCATTGTTATGTAGCAATTTCAGGAAGGAAATCATACGTTATTAGCGTGAACACATGGAATGATACACTTTTTCAGCACCCTGCAGCTATGTAAACATTTGGGCATGACCGTATGTACAGTGTCAGTTGATTTGGACCTCATAGTCACAAGGGAGAGGATAGTATTTTCATCCATTGTGTATGCCAGTGCATCTTAAGTAGACCTACTGTACTGTGCAGATGCCCTGCGAACATAACTTCTGTGCCTTGTGTCTTTCTTCTGTTTCAAGCACTCAAACTGATCACTTAAAATGTCCAGTGTGCGGTTCAAAAGTAAGTTACTCTGAGAACACTAAGAGTCCACGAGTGGTAACTGTTCATCTTCACAATTTCATAGTTTGTCATACGTGCAACAAGGGACTCAAGCAACAGGTTCACTGCTCATGCTCCCCAGTTATACCCCAACCCTAAAGTCACAATACTCTGCCTCTGCATGAGACTGCAGTTTCACTTGCAGACAAGATAAAAAGTGTAACCTGAGTCCTCAGATACCTTGCAAAATGTCATCAACCTGGAACACTTATACCAAGGGAGGTAGAAGAGGTCACTGACAGATGAACTAGGCTGAAATTAAAACGTGATGGTTGAAATACCTTCCCTCAAAACAAAAGGTTGGGTAAGCAGAGACTTCTAAATCTCTATTTGTGGTGTCAAATTTGAAACTGTTTTAAAATCAGGTTGAGATGGTGTTCTTAAAAATTATATGCAAACAAAAGTTTCATGTCAAAACCCAGTAAGATTGTAGAATGATGTTTAAACCAGGCCTGAATAGGTTGGCACTACAACACCTACATGTAATCAATTTCTGTACATATATTGTACTGTACTGTGCATCAACAGTAAAGTCGAGCAAATACAGAGTTTGATGAAGCTGATACACATTACTACAATGGAGCAAAAACATCAATTTTTACTTATTCAAGGTATTCCAAAATATTTATTCCAATATTTATTTGCAAAAATTTACAATATTCACAAAATATATCAAATTTGCCGCCAGCATACATCCAGTGATAAACAAAGTCTTCGAAGTTCGATGGGCCACCCTGTAGTGTTGACTGCACCAACCTGTAGTGAAATCCAATGTGAACAGAGGACTATTCTTGTAGAGAAATCCACGGCAACGATGAGAGACTGTCGTCTAGCACGGGATCAACTCAGAAAACTGGAGGTGCCTGAAATGCCATATATATATAGAGAGAGAGAAATATATAAAACAATTTTAAATCTTTGATCTTATAGACAACACTCCACAAAAGCAATTAAAGAACACGGCATTTCCTGAAACAGGAATTCAAATTTGTGCAAATATTCCTGGCATTCGCACTTAATTATGAACTACCTTCTAATCGTACCCTCTTTACTTGTTTCAAACTTATAGATTTCTAAATAACAGCAAGATGATCCCCTCGGGTGCGCTATCCGGAAACAACAGAAGCAGTTGCTATAAAGCTGTCTGGCAGGCCAGGAGCTGCTTTTTAACAGTAACAAGGCTGATGGCATAAATGGCTACGGTATAAGGGAAGTTCCATTTGTCTTTGTTAAAGATGTGCTTGCCATGATATTGGACTGCATGTACCGACTTGAATGGTAATTCATTATTTGATTAAAATCAGACATAGGCTTATGTAATTCTATTCATTTCAAGATGAAAGTTTCTTCAAATGTTATTCCTCTACCTCTGCAGTTATGATGCACTCTCGCTACACAATGGTATAGCCCCCAAGAGCATAGTGTGGATCAAGATGGGAGGGGATTAAGGAGGGAACTCCTCCAAGATGGACTTTTAAATCGTCAACATGGAACGCCCCAACGCCCTACAAAATACCAATGTGTTTTCATGCATTGAGGCAATGGATTCAGTGGCCAATATTGAAAGAGCAGGTCCCCCTCCCCCTCCTTTTGAACAGATTTCAAGACCTACCTCTACAAAATGGACTTAAGTTGTTTCTGGAATCGTTTTATTGAATCACAGGCTTCCAGTCAGATTGAAATTAAGAAGAAACATAAAGAAATGTAATAATATTAACTATTTATTTCACGCAATTCTTAACATGCTACATGTAGTTAGTTATAACATTCAGGTGGTATTATTTTGGGTCCTTAGAAATGAGTGGGAAGTGTGCTAATGAATATGTGTCACTTTTAATGTGTTCAGACTTCCAATTACATCCCCATCCTCATCTGAAATAGCACACATGCTCTTGTGGATTGTGCATCTATATGAGTCTTCTGCTTTGGAGGTCACGAATTGCTGAATAAGATGTATGGACTAATATGGCTGCAGAGGTAAGCAGAAAGTTTTGAAATTATACTACTGATTACTTACATGGGTAATGAAATCTGAAGTCTCTCGGGGTAAGGTTGTTTGTAAGACTTCCTTGAACTGTCCTTTTATCATATACCAGAAAAGCAAGAATTATGCTAAATAGTGTGACTACCTTTCTCGTGCCATTTGCATCCTGTTACTGTTGCATCTACTGCCTGGCCAGCAAAATCGTCCTGTAACAGCGGGTCAGTGAATGAGAACAGAGCCAGCCACGTACTCTGTCAAACATCAGAAAGCACTATCACCAATTTCTGCAGAATGAATCAAGGCAACCATATGCCAAAGGAGTCTCTTTAAATTTGTTGAACAGACCGTTAGTACCAGTTGAAGTTGATCATGTGCATATATGAAACTACATTGTATTAAAAATACCTAAACGTATCTGTGCCCTGTGATGTTTAGAACAAATTTGAATGAGCCATCGAGCAAAACTGCCAACATTGACTTGTTTGGCTAAGTGAGATTAATATCCAGTTGTAACTTTTACGAGGAGGCCAACGTTTGTGTAAAGTGTTACAGTTAAATACAATGCACAACACTGACAGAGTAAACACTACCCAACCTGAAGCTTTCACGCCATGTTCATTGCACGGCATCATTTTGCAAACAGCATCTTGCTAAATGTACTTGAGTGTTAGCATTTAATAATAGTTCAACGTATTTAAGTTTTGGGATTGTTGTACCCACCATTCCCATTTCTCTTGGTGTGTACAAGAAGCTGTCCGACCGTTTTAGAGAGACATCCACAATCTTGACGCAGAAATTTTCCATCTGTGTGTCATAACCCAGGACAACATGCATCCAACCAACCTTAATAATCATATTGCTCGTGCAATAGAGAGGCTCAGCAGTATCCAAGAGCAACCCTTCGACAAGAATGNATTTGTGTGAACCAATCACATTGAGGGCAGAAGAATGCTGCTTTTGAATGTGCTGAAGAAGAACTTCTGCTATACGTGGAATGACAATCAGAATTTGGTTGGAATATCTGTTTCTCCTTTTACAGCAAATTGCTCTTGAAATTGGCGAAACGTCTGCTTTTATAAAAGAGGAAAACACAATCATACTGTGGTGGCAAATAGAAACGTCACAAGTAGAGAATACATTTACATGTGCACTAATCATTTACACGTACTCTCTTTAAAGCTTTCAATCCCAACGCTTGTATGATCATTCAGTTAGGAACTTCTTTTTAATTTGGCTTTAGACAAAACAAGTTAGTGTGTTAATACGTTTTTCTTACCATTGTGTTTTGTAGGAAAAAGAAGCTGAAAAACCACAGCTGCATATGCAACTGGGCCTGTGGTTAGCTCCCTTGATAAGATACTCAATGAGTTCAGTGTTCAGAGACAGGTGTACCTTGGCAAAGCCTTTGTAGGCAATTATGTCCGTAAGTACTGTCATGTATAACAGACCGATACAATAATTCATAACCAAACAAAAGTAGATCAAATTCCTGGGGCAAATAAGATTTAACGTGTACCACTTGTATTTTCAAATAGCTTGAAGTGATAGAGGCCTCACCAGAGCTCCATTAGATGCAACTGAAAGACACCTGACAGACAACATGTCCTTAGGCACACAAGAAAGGCTACAGCGGAATGCTACAACTGTTGAGTATTTTTGTGAAATTCTCATGAAATTTGAAGATGTCAACATTTGCATCAACCACACCCGCCCAGTCAGTGGTAATGACATCCATTGTACAGGTAACTACACCAGCATACATCAATGAGTGACATCTTTAAGCGCTCAGTGGTACCATTCCTTCATTTTGTAGAAGTGGCTAAGAAGGAGCAGTTAACCAGCTATCGACGAATTTTCCTTGGTGAAAACGTCACTCCAAATCTCCACCGACTGCACGATTACAGTGTTGACCAACTGCGTCAGTTCAGAGCAGGTTTTGGCCTTCTCAATGAACAAGGTGGCATGGTTATCCACTCTGAGGTTTATAAAATAGGCCAAGTAGTCCACGGCATGAAAAATGATGTTGAGCGGTTGATGACAGCCATGAGGCTTCATCATGTCAGCACAACCTCTGAAGTTACGTTGTCTATGGTAAAATTTCTCGTGTACGAAACTACAGGGATGAAATTGTCAGTTTTGAAAAATATCTGAAACTGTGTATTAAGAGTCTGTCAGATGCATTTCTTTATACATGAATACCAATAATGCTTCTATTGGATTCAAAAATCTGAATTCAGAGAAATGTCTGAAATATCTCATGCCTGAAACTACATGGTGGGTTACATGATGATACATACCGGGTATGTAAAATGGCTTCTCTGTTGCAGAAAAATTGGATCAAAAAGTCAATTTTATATATGCTTACACGTATTTCGAATGTTACACATAACAGATATGTGCCTTCACAGTCTGCATACGTGTTGTACACGCTGATGGGTGTCCAGCAAATGAGAAAATTAAAGGTTTCACTGTGGACACTGCATACATGTTTGTGTGAGTGAACTATAACGGGGATGTGAAGGTACAAGTACATTATTTTGCTTTCACATCTCGTGTGTTTAGGGCCGACTGGAAATGTGGCTGCAGGGCTACATGAATTTAACCACATCATTTACATGGTTACATCACCGCACCTGTACAATGTACGTCGTGTAATATACATGTACATTTATGGTAGTCTACGTGTATAACGTACAATAATATGGTTGGTATAGGCCTAATTTGTTCCGTGGGTTTTGCACGCAACATCCACATAACACTGCCTTTGGGACAGATTGCGTAGGTATTCTTGAGAAATTAACAAAAAATAATTTCAAAAGCAGATTAGCTTAGATCATTTAACATTAAAGTAGGCCTCTGTGTTTCCAAAAAGATGGGTAATTTCATTTTTTTCAGATCACACAGCTTTAGGCCTAAATTTGTCATGTCAGTCTGTGTGGCTACATTCCAGGTATAATAATGCGTTAAAAACCGCAGCGTTTGTATGTACATGTAATGTAAACCAAAAATAGCAAGTACATGTGTGCGCCAATAGCATCATCATATTTTTATAAAATGCACGTGATGTACATGTACGAGTACATACATTTGCATGTACTGTATGTAAGCCCACGTGTACATGCTCAATGTAGCCTGATGCTGAAACTAAAATTATGAAGACTGTCCCACGAATGCTCTTAAAACTGCCTGTAAAGGATACTTACAACAAATCTGAGGGACTGCTTGTTGGAAAACCACTGAATTTAAAAAAATACATGGAACGGATAAAGACCCACACCGCACCAGAGAAAAATCTGGCAAAGGCTGGTACCCGTCTTCCGTTTCTAAAGATCACTTCCAACACTTGTATACCAACCAAATAATTTTTGAAATATATTCATTAGTATTTGTGGAAATATGTTCATATTTGTATGATGTTGTTTATAAGACTGCCCAACAGAAATGGAGCGCTTTTAAGGCTTCATTCAACCCTACAAAAACGGTCAAATTAATACGCTTAATCATTGGACCGTACGCCGGAGAGCACAAATTAAAGGGTAAGCAGAAGAAATCTTGCTTATTGTATAATTTATTTTTATTTGATCTGAAAGAAAAAAGAACATGACATAGAAATTACAGTTAACTTGCATGTTTGAGTAAGTAAAATTAATAGTCTAACAGAAATTACAAGCGGAGAACTATGTAACTGTTAAGTCGACCACTGTGCTTGAAAACTGTCCTTACATGTATATCCTGATACGTGACAACTGCTGATCTTTACTTTCTGTAAACTGCATAGACAAAGGTGGATGACAAAAACACGTGTTAAGTAACTGTCCAACTATAGAGGGCGTGCTGTTATTCATCTGGCCTGTCCAGGTCCCTGGAATAATCATGAATATGTATGATCTAAACTCAAACAAGACACTCTTTTTTAGCGCTTTGCGACAGCCGTGTGCAGAAGAGTTTGCAGTTTTCAAGAGGAATGCCTAGCAAGATGATCGGCTCTCATGACAAAAGGGCTTGTAAGATGAACTGCTCGCAAGACGAACGCTGGAAAGTTGAAGTGCTCATAAGACGAAGGGCTCCCAAGATGAAGGGCTTGCTAGACAAAGGGTTTGTAATAGTAAGGTCTTGCAAGATAAACGGCTCTCAAGACAAAGGTTTTAGAAGATGAAAGGTTCACATCTTGCTAATGACTCGCAACACAAATTGCATGCATTACGACGGGTACACATGAAGGACTTCACCAGAGGAGAGGCCAGAAAGAATCTCGCGTGAAACGAAGGGCTCGTAAGATGAATGGCTCATAAGACAAAATGCATGCAGTACAAGGGCATGGAGGACGAAGGGCTTGCAAGGCGCTTGGTTTTGAAGGTGAATGACTTGTAAGGTGAGAAGGTATGAGAGAAACTCAAAGGCTTGTAATACGAACAAAACAAAACAAGGGCACATGAAATGAAAGGCTTGCAAGAGGAAGGGCTCGCAAGATAAAGAGCTAACAAAATGAAGGTCTTTGGAAGTACGGGCACGTATGATAAAATTCTTTGAAGATGAAGGACTTTCAAGATGAGGGTCATTAAAATTATAGGTTTGCAGGAAAAAGGTTGCAAGGATGAAGGGTATGCAACATGAAGGACTCACTAGAAGATGAAGGCCTCTTAAGGTGAAGGGCTCACACGACAAAGGCCCTGGAAAATGAAAGGCGTGCAGCATGAAGGACCTGCAAGATTAAGAGCCGAGAAGACGAAATACTTGCATGGTAAAGGGCTTACAAGACAAAGGACTTGTAGAGTGAAGGGCTCACCGGATAAATTTTTCAAAATAAGAAGGGCATGTAGCATAAGGAGAAAGTAGACAAGGGGCTCAGGAGACGAAGGGCTCGCAATTTGAAGGGCTAGGAAGTAAAAGACTTGCTAAACTAAGGGCTCACAAGATAAAGTCCTTGCAAGGTTTTGACAAAGAAGGTCTTGCAAGATGAAAGACTCGCAAGACGAAGTTCGCAAGATGAAGGGCTAGCGAGATGCAGTGTTTGGAAGATGAAGACCTTGTAACATGATTTTACTTGCCCTTCATCTTGTCTTCATAACGGATTGCAAGACAAAGGGCTCGCAAGTTTAAGGGCTCGCAAGAGAAAGGGATCGCAGAGAAGGGCTCGCTAAATGAAGGGCTTGAAAGACCAAGGCTAGCAAGATGAAGTGCTTGGAAGAGGAAGAGCTCACGAAGTGAGGCTTGGAAGACAGTTTTTAAATAAGAAGGTCTCTTAAGATGAAGGGCTAGCAAGACTCTCGACTTAGTCAGCGAGATGGACACTAAACTTTCTTGCACCCCACCCTCTTGGACAAGAGCTTGACGATTTTGGATCGAGCGTTGTCTCGGATCAAAATGCAGACACTCCCCAGAGTTGTGGGTGTTGTCTGGGATTGTTTTGTGTCCTTGAGCAGTTAAAAGGCCATCGTTTTCCAGAGGAGGTATGGCACGATGGTCTTTCTATTTGGCGGCGATGGAGCAGGTACTTGGCAGAATTTTCTCTGAGCACCGTTTCTATGTGCCAACTCTTGACGAAGCGTCCTCAACAAAAGATGGCAAGGAAGGGGACTGATGGGTATACGAAATGATCATGCAAAATGAAGACGGAGCAGGACAAATGACAGAGATGTTGGGTAAGGTAAGGGCACTCCAGATGAAGGCATGGAAACGAACTTCACGCAACAAGATAAAGGGTGAGCGAGAGGAAGTGCAAGCAAGATGAAATACACTGAAGACAAAGGGTATTGAAGGGCACACAAGGTGCTGGGCACCTAGGACCAAGGGTTTGAAAATGAATTGCATGAATGATATACAAGATACCGGGCATGATAGGCAAAGGGCTCTCAAGGTGAAGGGCGCACAAGCTAAAGAGCACAGAAAATGAAATACTTGCAAGATGAAAAACATGAAAAATTAAGGACATGCAAAGGAAGTGAACTGAAGAAAACATGGTATGCGAGATGAGGGGCATAAAGATGAGGTGATAGATAAAGCAAGTGTAGGATAAAGGGCACGCACGATGAGGGGCATTCAAGAAAATTTTACGAGTTCAAGGGCGCGCAAAATTGAAGGCAGGGAAAATGAAGTTCACGCATGGTTTAGGGCGTTCAAAAAGTCAATGATCGAGCAAGATGGGCACGCAAGATGATGGGCATACAAAATCAGGGGCACAGAAATTGATGGGCATAGTAGAAGTGCACAGAATAGAAGAAGAAATTCGAAGATGAATGGAATGAAAGATGAGGGCGCTGCGATACCCAGAGGAAGGGCCTATATTATATGAAGGGCAAAGAACAATGGACATGCAAGAAGAAGAATTAACGAAATGAATGAAAGGGAAGATGAACATGCAAAATGAAGGGTATGTATTAGATAAAGAGCATGCGAGATTAAGGACAAGAAATATAAAGAACATGAAAGATCAAGTTAAAGGATTATTGGCACATACGTGTTGGACGGAAGATGAAGTGCACGAACAAGATAAAGGGCACGGAAGACAAAAGCCACTTGGGGGCGCTCTAGTTTAAGAATTTGCGTTGATGGGCACTAAAGATGATGGGCAGTTAATTAAAATGAAGGGCAAGCAAGAAGAGGAGGGCAAAGGAACTGAAGGACATGGGAATTGAGTCGAACGTATTAAGATGAAGTGGAAGAAAGAGGCAATGCTCGTGGAACGAAGGGGCCAAGCATAATGAAGTTCAGAAATGTGGAAGGGCTTAAAAGAAAAAGGGCATTTCAAATGAAAAGCCGGTATTGAGCATCATCAAAGATGAGGTTTGTCTTCAAAACAGTGGCTTCTCCAGCGGGTAGAGGGAAGTTGCTCTCTTGGAGACACGTTGCAAAATTGTTGGGGGTATGAAGGAAATTGAAACATGTAACGAAATTTCAAAAACAAGAGACTGTGTTGAGTATTAGTCCTTTCTTGTCCCTACTTTTTAGCTGATGGCTTCTTGATCGCGCTTGGCAAGAGCAAATAGCAATCTGTGGATTCGGTTATCTTCTCTCAAATATTGATGCGTACATGCACAGTTGGAACACAGAATTGGCTTATGCATGACACTGCTTGCATCTCTTGACACTAATGCAGGTAATATATCTCTTGCATTATCGTTTTCAGGGCCAGTAGGTCGGCAATTTTGCCTCAAGAAAGTAATAGACAGATCGGTAACTTTTTTTAATCCGTCAACTAGACGGAAGGATGTGACAGTCACCTGATTCAGCGACTGTATTTCGTTTCATCAAGAATGTAAATGATACCCTAAACTGCATATCCTTGACGAAGGAAAACCTACAAAGCTAAAGTGCTTGCATAATAAATGACACAGCTACCTGCCTGAATAATCTCGTTTTTGACTTGACATAAGTCGCCAGGTCTAGTCGGGTTTTTATACATTTGTCACCTGCATTGGTTTTACGTTTCAGGTTTACATCCAAAGTGGAATCCGTTAACATTCATGTTTTGACCAGGTTGCCAAAGTGAGATGGAGTTACGTTCAAAGTCTTTTGCCTGAGCTGATTTTGTCTATACATTAAGATGTGAGCAACGGTTTAGCTAAAAAGGAAGAAGGGGAAAAAACTTCCACATACGCTTGTATTATATGACTTGTGTACGTGCGGCCGCCAACTTTTTAAACGCAATCTTATCAGAGTAGGGCCTATGGTATACACATGGGCCAAACTGACTTTTGTTCCTGTTGAATTTGGGTCTATTTAACCACTAAAGAAATAAATACCAAATTCGGAGTTGGTTTTACTTGCAGGACTTGATCATGTGCTATGTACTCGTACTTTGCAAAGATGTATACTTCACTGCAACAGCATAGTGCGGTATTGAAGGGTGTGCAGTTTGTATTGCTGTACGTGGTATGTACATAGCACGGTGCATTGAACACGAAGTTGAACCAACTTTGCTTTTGTTGCTAAATGCGTGAGAATTTCTATACTCACTGCCAATATCGTGGCAACTCATGACTGAATGTAGAAGTACCAACATTGATATTTTCAGTAATGGCGTCAATAATAGTTAAGAGTTTTTGGTTACACATGTATGTGTAATAAACCTCTAAAAAAATCTCTCCGAGATTCGGAGAGTTCTGAGCAGGGACCCTATTTTCTGAGCCTTTCGGTAGGTATGCTCAGACTTTGGTCACTACATGAATTATGTAAGAATGCAAACAGATTAAAAATAAAAATGCAAACGGTAAAACCCATTCGTTTTCTTATCGAAACTTTATGGACAGATTCGAAGACACTGTTAGAGGTAACTTTTCTAAAATTCCAGCGT